AAAAAAAAAAAAGGAAAAGAAATGGTGAAATAAAAGAGCTGAACAGAAATTATCAAAGGACAGCTTGAGAAGACAAAGTATTACAATGAAATGTGCAAAGACCTGGAGTTAGAAAACCAAAAAGGAAGAACACACTTGGCATTTGTCAAGCTAAAAGAACTGAAGAAAAAATTCAAACCTCAAGTTGCAATTCTGTGGGCAAAATATTGAACAGTGCAGCAAGCATGAAAAGAAGATGGAAAGAATACACCGAGTCATTATTCCAAAAAGAATTGGCTGATGCTCAGCTATTTCAGGAGGTGGCATATGGTCAATAACCAATGGTTTGAAGGAAGAATTCACAGATTGCACTGAAGGAATTGGCGAAAAACAAGTCTCCAGGAGTTGACAGAATACCCTTGACATATTTCAACAAACGAATATAGTGCTGGAGGCACTTACTCGTTTATGCCAAGTAATTTGGGAGACAGCTACCTGGCTAACTGACTGGAAGAGATTCATATTTGTGCCCATTCCAAACAAAGGTGATGCAACAGAATGTGGAAATTAGTGAACAATGTCATTAATATCACACGCAAATAAAATTTTTCTGAAAATAATTAAAAAATGGTTGCGGCGGTATATTAAAAGAGAACTTCCAGAAACTCAAGCTGGATTCAGAGGAAGATGTGGAACAAGGGATATTATTGCTGATGTCAGATTGATCTTAGCTGAAAGCAAAGAATACCAGAAAGAAGTTTACCTGTGTTTTATTGACAATGCAAAGGCATTTCACCTTAGTGAAAACTAAGGTGCACCTAACCCAAGCCATGGTATTTTCATTTGCCTCATGTGCATGTGAAAGCTGGGCAATGAATGGGGAAGACCAAAGAAGGGTTGATGCTTTTGAGTTGTGGTGTTGGCAAAAAATAGTGGAAGTATCATGGACTGCCAGAAGAACTATGAGATCTGTCCTGGAAGAAGTGCAGCCTGAATGTTCCTTGGAAGCGAGAATGGCCAGACTTCATCTCACATGCTTGGTGTAAAGTGCAGTGTCAGCAGAAAAGGGGAAGGCCCTCAATGGAATGGATTGATACAGTGGCTGCATTGATGGGCTCAGTTATAGCAAGGATTGTGAGGCAGGCACAGGACCAGGCAGTGTTTTGTTCTGCTGTACATAGGGTTGCTATGAGCCGGTGCCAACCCAGTGGAACCTAACAACAACAACAACAACACTGTATAAAAATGGATAGATGAATATATGAACATGGAATTAAGAAGAACCTTTCTGGTCTGGAAAGAAAGTTAGAGATAATATGAGAGTCATTTAGTATTTTAAAGTAATACCTTAGGTTCGATGAACTATATACTGTGAAAAAATGTTTTATTATCTGTTTATGTAACATATAACATATATGGACTTGCTGTAAAGTAAGTTAACTAACAAATTATCTTGTATGAATTTTTCTAAATGAACTTTAGAATCATTTTGTCAAATTAAATTTGTATTGAGAATGTTTTTAGAGAAATATGTACATACCTTTATAGCATTAAGTCCTACACACCTGAAATATGGTGTGAATTCCTTTCCTTAAGCCTTCTTTTAGTTCTTATATTTATGTTAATTTTAGTCTGTATTTTCTACTACTTTTATTGGTTTATATACAGCAAAGTCTGCCTATCTCTCTTTAAATTTAACATATTTTTTACTTGCTATTGTGATTTTTTTAATCATTTATCTGTTAGTTTGTAATTTTCAGTTAATAGAGAAATGATTTACACATTTAAGTATGGAAATGTTGGTATACACTTACTCCTTACTCATCGATTATCTCGTTATCCAACATTTTGCATTCATAGCAACTTTGAAAAAATTTTCAGGTAGTACCTCAGATGGGGTGGGCCCATGGCTGGCCTAGGGTGTCCTCTGCAGGCCTCCCCAAACTATGTACTGGAGGCTTAAGTGATGACCAGGCCATGTAAGGGATGGCAGCCAATCAGCTGTTGATGCCTTCTCCCATTTGTCTGTGATATCTCAATCTTCATGCAGAGGGTTCACCCTGACAGCAGGACAATGCAGAGTTGCTGGTGAGCCAGAGCCCAGTGCCACCAGGGAGGTCATTGGTGGGAGGTGGGATCGAGGGAGATGGTAGGGAGCTTCATAGACCTGTGGGGCAGGGCAGACGGAGGATGAGAGGAATCTCCGCCCAGGGCAGGTAGTATGTGGAGGATTGGCAGAGTCCTCCCCAGAGAGGGACACAATGAGCAAAGGACAACCAGCGTCCTCACCCAAGGCTGGTGGGAGGCAGCAGGTTGTAGGCAACACCTGACTACCATCCCTACCACCCCCAACCCTTGTGGGCTCCATGATAGTAGAGAAAACATGGTGGAGAAGGGGAGCCATGAGCATCCTGACATATGCCTGGTGCACCTGACAGACTGTGAGTGACTGAGGCAGGGAGATGCCTGGGCTGAAGATGAGGCTTGGCCCCTGACTCCTGGCATAATGCCTGTTTCACATAACAACCAGATCTTTGGAAACTAACTATGTTAATAAGTAAGGAATGGATGTATTTCTTTTGTAATTGGTCCCCTTGATGAATCTCTTTATTAACATGTTTTTTTTTGTTTTTGTTTTTTCCCAGTTGATTCTTTTGTATTTTCTATGTAAACAGCTATATTGTTTGGGGATGATTTTAAAATATATGTTACTTTCATACACAAACACACACAACACATACACACCACAGCGTACACATGTGTTTGTGTAAAATTTATTTTTTTCCTTCTTATGTTGGATAAGAATTTCTGTACAGAGGCTAAATAATAGAGATAATTGTTTTTCTATCATGTAAAATATTTGGAAATTTCTAACACATTAGTGTAAAACATCAGCTCAATTACTTAAACTTGTTTAAATGATCAGTATTAGAGACCTGTAGGATATCTTACAAAATATTGCCCTCCTTTTAAGATTTTTTTAACACAATCTTTGAAGATATATATTTTAAAGTCTTTTGTATTTCAAAACATAGGGGTTATTCATAACTTCATGAATATTCCTTGATAAATAACCTTCTTGTTTTGCAAGGAAGCTTGAGTGAAAATAAGAATCATGTAATTTTCTCAGGTTTGGGGCTCTATGCTCACAGCTGGAAAGAACAACACATTGTAAAAATACACTATTTCCAAGAGTTTAAGGCACTCTGATGGCACAATGGTTAAGCGCTCGGCTGCCAGCCAAGAGGTGGGTGTTGCAAACCACCCATTTTGTGGAAGAAAGAGGTGGCAGTTTGCATCCGTAAAGATTTAGAGCCTTGGAAACCTTATATAGCAGTTTTACTCTGCCCTATAAAGTGGCTGTAAGTCAGAATGGACTAGACACCAATGGTTGTTTTCAGGAGTTTACAATGTAGAGGTTATTCTTTTTCAGTATGTAGTAAAAAGTTTCTCTGTACTCGTGAAGAAATATTTATACCTTTAGAATAGTTTGGAACTCTATTTCTATTTCTATACTCATTTCTGTTATTCATTGCCAAATCCCTAGTAAAGATTTGGAATATATCAGATGTAAGTAAAAATGACACTCAGGAACAGATAAATTGATTACAGAGAAAGGAATGTAGATTGATTTTTTTAAATATCAATTGAGATTTAAAAAAAAGAAAAATCATATCCTATCGAAGCTATTCTTTGAGCTTTTCTTTTTGGGTTCCATCCTAATCATTTTCAAAAAATAGTTTGCACTATTACATATGGTATCTTCCATGTACCTTAAAGAAACAATTCAGGGATAGTTAAATGGTTGTATTCTTAATAGAGTGATATTCTGGAAATACTTTGTTACGATACTTTGAAGTATTCTGTATAATAAAGTTGGGCCTATATTGCATAATGCTTTAAAAGCACCAATTCAACAAATATTTATTAAAAATGTCTGAATCAGGCACATTAATATTAATTTTATTATATGTTTAAAGCTGTACACACTAAGAGTGAATGCATGAGTGATCTAAAGCAGTAACTGGTTAGAACAATTTGGGAACTTAAGTAATATACGTACGTCAAAATTAGACATCAATGCTGTGAAGTCATTTATAGTCAAGACTCAACTACATTGACCAAACCCAAAAGAAAGCATTATAGTAAGTAACTAGATTCTTGCAATTTCATAAGATACCAAGATGTTTTGACATTAATATGCTAAGCAATGAGGTTGCTAATTTTTTAAAAAAAGAAATATGGCTTTAACAAAGTACAATAAGAAACTTTTGTTCTTTACAGTTTATAAAGTTCTTACACGTAGTTTGTATGATTTAATCTTCAGTAATCTTGTGAGAAAAGTAAAGCTTAAAGAACTAAGTTACCCAAGGTAGAGTAAGTGTGTTGCTTATTCTACAGTTCTTTGTGCTGCTACTATCTGATCCACATCTTTGTTGTTCTTTAACTACCTTTTAGTTTTTATACAATTGCTATATGGTGGTGTTATTCTTATTAGTACCTTAAAACAATTATTTTCATTTTACTTCTAGAACAAATGAAAAAATGTATTTGATATAAAATTATTTAAAATATATCATAAAAGATTATTGTATCTTCAAAGGCACAAGCTAGCATGTGATCTAAAATGGAAAACATATTATCTGTATTTTTCACATAATTTTTATAAATTGAAAATGACAGTTTTCTAAATCATTTTAAATTTTGTCTTACAGGTACTATATTTCAAAAGGTGCTATAGTGGATCAACTTGGAGGTGACCTAAATTCAACTCCATTGCACTGGGCTACAAGGTTCATTTAAATTTACTTCCGGAATATTTTTTCCTTTGGTTCCTTTATTAGTTCACACTTTTTTTTGTGCAACTTTTTTTTTTAGTGATAAGCTAAAATGAATAGGAAAATTTATCCTAGTAGTTAATCTCCTTAGTATGCTAATATATTGCTGTACAGTGTTAGCTTCATTGAAAGCAAAGTTTGTTTTCCAAAGTGCACTTAGGGAATTAACCACACAGACATGGATCCTGTCAATTATAAGATTGAGTTAAACTCAATATTAGGTAAATATAATAGTTTCACAGCCTTAAATATATTTATAATTAAAAAACTAGCCCTGTTCATGGGACTATGAACTCCTATTATAATAGAGTTAATAATTTTTTTATTACATTGAAAGAAGTTAGGAGTATCTCCATAAATAATCAAAAAATATTATTCTAGTTAAGACTTTTTAAGAGCCATAAAATCCTAAATATGTTTTGAAGTATAATTATGGTAAAATAGCTTTGAAAAATATTTTTGTAATCTTTTTTTATCTTTATCCTAATTATAAAAGATCTTTTCAGATTGTCCTGTTTGAAATGATTCAATGTTCATTCTTCTATGTTTTAGACAAGGCCATCTATCCATGGTTGTGCAGCTAATGAAATATGGTGCAGATCCTTCATTAATTGATGGAGAAGGATGTAGCTGTATTCATCTGGCCGCTCAGTTTGGACATACCTCAATTGTTGCTTATCTCATAGCAAAAGGACAGGTAAACTATCACAGTGTGGATTTCAATTTGATTTTCTACATGATTTAAACTTTAACTAACATCGGTGTTATATGTGTAACAACCTGGTGATACTTCAATAGTACTTTTTGATATCATGAAAATAAATAGTATGATACTGAGTCATTTAAAGCAGTAAACATAAAAATAAGTGACAATCATGAATCAGATAATGGCCCATTATGTTTAGTTTTTATTTCTGAGAGTGATAGAAATGGATCCCAGAAAGTTAGGGAAATAATTTATGTATTTGATCTTTTTTTAAATTACTTCTTTTGAATCTATCATCTGGATTCATTTAAATGTTTTTTGAAATTATTTACTCATTTTCTATATTAATTACTTCTTGAAGATGATGAATTCTTGAAGATCAGTTTCTCAATTTCTGCTTGTTCTGGTTACCTGGTACTGCTCTGACAAGAATATACCACAAATGGGATAGCTTAAACAAACAGTAGTTTATTCTCTTACGATTTGGAGGCTTTAAGTCCAAGTTCAAAGTGCCAGGCTCTAGGGGCTGGGGGCAAGCCCCTCAGCCTTGGGTTTTAGCTCTGCCTCTAGCTCCTGGCCCACTGGAACTAGAGGCTTTTCTTCACTCAGACAGCTTTTGTCTACTGAGGCTGCCAAGCCCAAGGTTGACTAGTAAAAAGGCACAGTCCCAATATTACCAAATCACATGGCAGGCCATTAATTCAAGTCCATTGTAAGTCCCAGGGTCAGCAGAGAATGGCAGGCTGCTGAACAACGACACAGCTACAAGCAGGCTTCAAGGTGCCATAAGCTAGAGACCATTCCCCAAGGCTTCTGCATATACACAGGAAGCAAATCATGTCCCCTAAGGCAGCTACTCAGCTGCTCACAGTAGATTCCACCATGGAGTTGATTACCAGTCTCATCATGGGGAATACTACATCCAGCAGCCCAGCCATTCAACCAGGCCCAGCCAAGTTGACACACAAACTGACCTACCACACTGTTATATAAAATAATACCTCTCTTATCAGAAAATGACTTCTCGTAATTTTTCCTAATTATTAAATGTGCAGTGTCCATTGACACATTCAATATCACATGATTTATATGTAGTTTATATGTTTTTATATTTTGTAAAAGTAATGTTATTGGGTGCTCTTCCATTTGCTTTTTCTTGTTATACTAAGGATTTTATTACAAAACTAAGATAAATGAGTTTAATTCATTGCTGCGAGCATCTAGTCTTTAAAAGTTTTTGCTGCTTTAGAATTTGAATAGTATTTATTTTGTGAGTGCTTTAAGAGATTTGTTGTTTGGCAGTATCCAGGCAATTAAGGTTGAGTGTTGTACATTAACCATAGGAAAACAGGCATAGACTGCTTAATTACTTAAAGGAAAACTTTCTTATCTATTATTACTGTGTTAACAAACAATAGCAACCATTTATTATTTCTCACAATTCTGTTGGTTGACTGGGCTGAGTTGGGTTAGTTCTTCCTATGTGATATTGGAGGGCTACAGTTATTAGTGTTCACTGGGCTAAAAGATGGCTTATTCACATATCTGGTGCCTTGGTTGTTGTTGTTGTTGTTGTTGTTATATGCCATTGAATCAGCCCCAACTCATAGCGACCCCTCCTTGGGTAGAAATGCCTATATAGCTGGGCTTCACTGTGATGCTAAGAGGACTAGGCCTCTTTCTTTCTCTTCTCTCCGTTCAGTCTCACAACTGCTTCTCCACAATACCTTACCACATGGTTTTTCTAGCAGTAGGAACAGACTTCGTACATGGCCAGAGCCCCTACATGGCAGCTTATAATTCCTAAAAGCATAAGCAGGACCTGTTTTCTGTCTTTTTAAGTCTTAACTTTTGAACTGGCACAGCAACAGTTTTGCCTCATTCTATCAGCTAACACAAATGACAAGGCCAAACCATATTCACTGTGGGAAAGGATAATGCAGGGGTGTGAATACCAAGTGGCAAGGTTCATTTGGAAGCATCTTTGGAGACAGCCCTACTTTAGGGAATTATCCTTGTGCTGCTATGGTTTCTTCTGGTTTGGAATCAGCAAACTGACCAAAAGGCCAACTCCAGCTTTGTGTTTATAAATAAAGTTTTACTGGAACATAGCCATACTGACTTGTTTATATTTTATCTATGGCTGCTTTTATGGCTACAACAAGAAAGTTGAGTAGTTGCAACAGAGGCCATATGGCTTAAAATTCACTGCTATTAAATTGATTCTGACTCATAGCGACTCAAGTGGCTTACCAAACCTAAAATATTTATTTGTTTTCTGACTGCAATGTGCCGTACTCACAAGTTCTTAGTGAAGACTGTTTAGAGCAGAACACAGACCAGCATTGTTCTGATGACATGGTCAAAGGTATTTATTACTCACAGAATAAACAGGGCAAGAATGATTAGAACAGCATCTACCATCATTAGCCAAGGTTCCCTGAAGTAGACTCCTGTCCCAGGGTACTTCTAGATTCATCCAAGCATGCCCCATTTCACTTGGGAAAAGTATAGAACCTAAGTCCCTTTCTCCTGGGGTTGCATACTAACAGGACAACCATCTCTACATGCCTGATAGTGATAGCATGTACAGAGAACAGACAGGAGAAAGGGGTCATAAAAGGTATAAAGTGGTAATACAAGTGGAAGGCCCTCTGCAGGCAGTTGACATCATTTATTGGCCTTGTTCAATGCTGAAAGTTTTCACTACTTTATGCCAAGAAATTTGGAAGACAGCTGTCTAGCCAACTGACTGGAAGAGATCCACATTCCAAAGAAAGGTGATCTGACAAAATATGGAAATTACTAAACAGTATCATTAAAGTAAAATTTTGCTTAAAATAATTAAAAAACTGTTTAACATTACATTGACAGAGAACTGCCAGAAATTCAGGACTGATTCAGAAGAGGGCATGGAGCAAGAGATATCATTGCTGATGTTAGATGGATCTTGACTAAAAGTAGAGAATACCAGGAAGATGTTTACTTGTGTTTATTGACTATGCAAAGTCATTAGACTGTGTGGTTCATAACATACTGTATGAGTAACATTGCAAAGAATGGGAATTCCAGAACACTTAATTGGGCTCATGCTGAAGCTATACATAGACCAAGAGGCAGTTGTTCAAACAAAACAAGGGAATAATGCATGATTTAAAATCAGGCAGGGTGTACATCAGGG